GGGATTCTACAGCCTATGAGTTACGGGTAGGGTATGGTATTAGGCTAAACCCAACCCCCTTAGCCTACATATTGTTGGAAAGCATATAAACTTTATGTAGTAGGTGTTGAATTTAATAATATTTTGAATTAGATGTAAAGGATAATTTATAGTTTATGTGTTCTTTTACATCTTAATCAGATAATTGGAAATTTTGTTGTTTATTTATGTTATTTTACTTATTTGCTGCTTTTATATAACAAGAAATAGTAGGAAATTAGATGCGGATTTTAAACCCATCCGTACCCTTGAATACGGGGAGGGTTTTGCATTTTTCATGTGCGGGGAGGGTTTGGATTCTCAAAATCCAATGGGTAGAGTCTATAATTTACAGAACCCTCACCGGACCCACTCTGTTGCCATCCCTGTTCGGGCTAGGCTTAGCTATATTGAGCTTTGTAGCTAAAATGTTGGCTAAACTTAAATTGCATTGAATCATTACCGAGGCATCAACCTAAGCTCAATATGCATTTAGTTTAGGCCCGAGTTTTTTTTGGCTCAAGCCCATCTTAAAGTTCAGAAATTCAAACCCAACCTGTGCAAAAGCTTTGATTGAATCGGGTGGGGCTTGAATTGGGTACTCCCAAATTGCACCCCTAGCTCTATTGCTTGAAATTGTTTTAACAAAACCCATGCGTTGCACAGGTCCCTGCTAGTATATATATTAAAACACAACAGTCTAAAATTTTTCTCATTTTTTTATTGTTTAGTCCATGTCATATTTTAAACAGCTAATGAGATGCTCTCCTTATGCATAAAAAATTACATAAACTCTCTCTCTTTCTCTCCCACATACGTTTCTCAATAACCCCAATAATATAATCACCTAAAATTTCTCCTAGACTACCTCCTTTACTATCCCCCACTTTCTCCTAAATTATCTATAATATTTCTTTCCCAGATTATTTCTAATTCCTATATATCTTCTCCCCACTTTTTATTTATATCTATATAAATAAAGTTTGAATTAAAATTTTAAAAATTATTTAAATGTCCTAATGAAATTATATAATAGTTGTAAAATATTTATTAAAAACAAAAAATAATTACAATAGATTTAATAATATTCATATTATTAATAATTTCATGTTTTCACAAAATTCATCATGAAATTATGTACTAACAAAATAAATTATGGTTCTCCAAATTATTTTATTTAAATGTTATTCAAATAATGAAAATATTAAAAATAGCTAAATAATATCAAAATATTTAATATCATGCAATAACTTCAAAATAAATAAAATTCAAATAACAATTTTAAAAACTTAATCTTTATTTATTATATATTTATCTATATGAAAATTAATATTATTGTATTTCAGTAATTATTTATTGTTTTTCTGTGATAAATATATTTTCAATAATTATGTATAAATCTATTTTTCTTTTGTTATTTAATAGAAAATTTTCAATAATTATTGGAGTTTAAACTACTGTTATTTAGCTTTTTAAATTTAATTTATTGTGTATTTTTGTTATAAATTTTCAATAATTATTGGAGATTAAACTATTGTTTATGGGTTGGTTCGGTAAAGTTGTATGTTGTTTGGCCAAGCAAATTGACCTGCTCAGGTGGGGGGGTTGGTCGCCTAGGTTATATTGATTTGGGTTAATTTTCGGTTTGGTCAATCGATTCAAAAATCTAAACTTAAAAATTTAAATTTAAAAATTGAGTTTAAATTATAAAAAATACAATGACATTATTTAAAAAATCAATTTAAAAATTAAATTTATGATATAAACTATTTTAGCCAAAGAAATATTATAATTTTCCCACTTTCCCATATTAAAAAAATATATTTAAAATATAAAATATTATTTTATTTCTATGGTCGGGTCATTCGATTTTAGTCAGTTTACAAATGGCCAAAGTGAAACTAATCCAACCCAGTTGGGTTGTGAAATTGTTGAACCAAAGCCGAATGGAAATACTAGAAATCGGGTTGGTTAGTTTCATTCGTTTGATTCAAAATGGCAACAGGGCGGGGTGGGGACGAGGAACCTTTCCCCATCCCCGTCCCCACGAAAATCCCCATCCACGTCCCTGTCCCCATCCCCGCTAACGGGGACAAAGTTATCCCCATCCCCATGTCCACGGGGATCCCCACTCCCCATGATTCTTTATAATGTCAATCATTATGTTTTTGTTTTTAATTTATTTAAAAAAATAATTAAAATGTACAATCCTATTATAAAAGATTCAACCATATTTTTAAAATATTAACATATAAATGTATGTGTACATATATACAGGGAATGCTCTCCTTGTCCCTGCCAATGGGGATGAAAATTCCCCCATCTCCATCCCCGTGAGAGGAAAATCATCCTCATCCCCTCCCCATTCGAGGCAGATCCCCACGAGGACCGGGGAAATTGAGAAAATTGCCAACCCTAAGTTTGATAAACAATCCTTTCTAAAATTAATTATTGTTATTTTTGTATTGTAAAAGAATTATTAAAACTAGTATATAAAGTATAGATGATTATTACTTATTATATAAAACAATTGTATACTTTTTCATGTTTCTATTGTTTATCTTTGACTTAACAAAACACGTGCATCGCACGGGTCCCCGCTAGTATACACTAAAACACAACAATCTAGAAATTTTCTCCTTTGTTTATTTTTTATTCCATGTCATTTTTTAAACAACTAATGAGATGCTCTCCTTCCACATAAGTAATTACCTAAACTCTCTCTCTCTCTCTCTCCCACACGTTTCTCAATAACCTAAATAATATCCTCTCCTAAAATTTCTCTTAAACTACCTCCTACACTATCCCACACTTTCTCCTAAATTATCTCTAATTCTTATTTCTTTCATAGATTATCTTTAATTCCTATATATCCTCTCTCCACTTTTTATCTATATCTGTATAAAGAAAGTTTGAATTAAAAATTTAAAAATTATTTAAATGTTCAAACGAAATTATATAATAACTGTAAAATATTTATTAAAAACACAAGAAATAATTATAATAGATTTAATAATATTCATGTTATTAATAATTTCATATTTTTACAAAATTCATCATGAAATTATGTACTAACAAAATAAATTATGGTTATCTCAATTGTTTGATTTAAATGTTATTCAAATAATAGAAAATATTAAAATAGCTAAATAATTATATATATCAAAATCTTTAATATTATGTAACTTTAAAATAAATAAAATTCAAATAACAAAAAAGTTTTAAATATTTTATACATTAGTTAAATATTTAAATAACTAAATATTTTAACTAACAAAATATTTAACATAAGTAGATTTTAAATAGTTAAAATAATGAAATTATGAAATAAATTTAAAAATTTTCTTAAAACTAGAAAAAATAATTATAACATAATATTCAAATTAATAATAACTTAATATTTCACAAAATTAATAACGAAATTATGTAATAATAGTATAAATTATAATTTCATGGATTATTAAATTCAATACATATTTAATATTTTAAATTTTATATAATGTTATTATTTAAATAACTAATTTAACTTATATCAATTAATAATTATACAAAGTAACTTTCAAAAAAATTATTATATATTTATTTATGCTAAGATTTATTTTTTTGTATATTCAATAAGTAATTATTTTTTTGTGATAAATATATTTTCAATAATTATATATAAATCTATTTTTGTGTTGTTATTTAAAAGAAAATTTTCAATAATTATTGGAGATTAAACTACTATTATTTAAATTTTAAATTTAATTTACTATACTTATTATATTTTTGTTATAATTTATTGATTTATGTTTATTATAGATTAAACAATTATTTGAGATTACACTATTTATTGACTAATTTAATATATTTTTTAGTATTTATTATATTTTTATTATCAATATATTTTCAATAGTTATGCATTTTTGCTATAAATTTTCCATAATTATTGTATTTTAAACTATTGTTATTTATTAGATATTAGACTATTAATTTAGCTAAAATTAGGAGTGTTCACTGATTGGTTTGGTTCGTTGCTGTAGGCTATTTGGCCAACCAAATCAACCTGGTCAGGTTGGGGGAGTTGGTTACTCGAAATCAACTGGCCATTAGTGAAGACCGACTAACTCGGGTTGTATCATTTTGGGTCGATTTTTGGTTGGTTGGCATTATTAAAAAACTAAAATATTTAAATTTATGATATAAAATATTTTAAACTAATAAATATGAGAATTTTTCCACTTTCTCGTATTAAAAAATATAAAATATTAATATATATTTAAGGTCGGGTGGTTCGATTTTGGTCAATTTACAAATGCCCAAAGTGAAACTTATCCAACCTGGTTGGGTTGGGGAATTGTTGAACAAAAACCAATTGGCAATACTAGAAAACTGATAAACTCAGACTAAGCTCATCAGTTTAATTAGCAACCCTAGCTGAAATTAATTATTATTATTTTTATATTATAAAAATTATTAAAAGTAGCATATAAAATATAAGGGAAAATTTATGATGTGGGAAATATAATGGTTTTGGAAGAGTTTTGACCAATCAAAATCCACCCATGAATTTTGATAAATAACACTTGATTGTTTTAGATACCATATTTTTCTCATATCATAGTCGAACCCAAAATATAAATAATTATTAATTATTTAAAAATTTAAAAATATAAAACAATTGTATACTATTAAGTGTTTCTATTGTTTAGCTTTCACTTAACAAATCTTGTGCATTGCACGGATCCCACTAGTTTGTAACTAATAAAAAATTAAAATTCATTTCAAATGAATCTAAAAACAATAAAAATTAGTAAAAAATAATACAAGTTTATTTAAAAAGAATAACATTAATAAATATTTCTAAAAATAATAAAAATAATGATTTCCCGCTAAAAATAATGAAAATTAATACAAATTTAACAAAGCCCGTGCATTGCACGGGTCCCGAAACATAAAACCGAAAACCAGAGCAGGCAATCAGTGTGTTCTTTCTTCTTTGTTACGTTGGGTCTCCTCTCGCCCCTTCCTCACTGACGTCGTAAGCCACGGTTCTTCTTCAGTAGTTCCTTCCAACGACGACACAGCCAGTTAATGCCGGAGCAGGAAACGACACTCTGTAACATCCGCGATAGAGCACGACAATCAGCGTGCAGTGTTTGAGGTGGAGAAGCAATGAGAGTTGAGAGAGACTAGCTTGTAGCCCGTTTGGCGCAGTTGACTTCCAGGCTCCAATCAAGGCCGGTCTCTCTGTTACTTCAAAATCTCGGTGCTTTGTTGGTTTAAGTACTATTTGAGATGTCAAATAAATCAGTTCCATCCCGACCGGTCGGAGGTGGCGATCGTACTAATCTCGCTCGCACTTTCAAGTATCTTATGGGTTAGTTGTCTATCATCATCTCGCATTTTCTCGATTTCAAAGTATTTGTACTTCCCTTCTTAAAATTTTGATTTTTATCTACCGTTGGAAGCTCAGCGACTCAGTTCTTATCAAGAGGAATCCCTTTTATTTTCAACTCATGGATTGTGAGACATCTTACGGAGAAGGACTACGCGGTAAAGTTAAACAGAAAAAAAAGACTTTTTTTTTGTTAATTATGTTGCTAATGGAATACTGTACAAAGAAAACCACGGAAATTTAGTTTTACAGAACGGAAACTGGCTTAATTTATTGCTCTCGGCTATCAATTTGATGCTTTATCTTTGGGCATTGACTTTATATGAACTGAACATTCGATGGAATCCATTGTAACAATCTGCTGGGTTGGGAGCATGAATATATTCATCATGGTGAATCTCAGTGATGGTGGTTGCTTGTTCGCAGTCCATTTTCTGAAATGAAGTTTATTATTTAATTAGCTTAGATTTGCATAATCTGTTTAATAGAAACGAGAGAAACAATAAATAAAGGTTTACAATTTGATAAAGAGAACTTGCTGTAAGCTTGTTGCTTGCAACAATAGAATTCATAAACTTCTGTTTTAGGCAAGTAGAAAATAAAGATGAAAACCCGAAAACCTATTCTCTAGCCAACCACAAATAAACCTTTTATTAAGCTACTAAGAATGTTTTAGAACCACTGTTCATGCTTTTAACTCTAAGGTGCCACAGGATCTGCTGCAAGTAGAAATGTGCAAACCTGGCTGAGTAACCAATCATGAGTGAACACACCAGTGGTCTGTACACATGGGACCTTGCAGCAGATCTGGATTCCTCTGAGGCTTATCTTCTTAACTCAAAGCAGTCTTGATAAAGGCTTCCAGCAAACCTATGAAGTTCTGGGGAGTCCTTATTTAATTACTTCTCTGATTCCTTTACTTTCCTGAACTCTTTGACCCATAGGTTTCCATGCATAAACAACATATATATATATATATATATATATATATATATATATATATACTCATAAACTGAGGTTGCAGAACAAAGACTCCTTTTATTGCTGAATTTTCTGGATTATAGGCTTCTATTATGATCATAATGATGATAATATAATAGAAATAATAATGTGTTAATCTTAGCAATGCAAATTTACCATTTATCAAAATAATAATTATGTGTTAATCTTGGTTATCTTCACTATTCTTTATCTATCTAATGTTTCTCTTAACTCCCCCCACCACCTTACATGCCAATCTAGGTGGTTTTTGGTACCATGGCGTTGAGTCTCAATGTTTGTACTTTGTACTTGAATTATTGCATCGGAAATCACGAGAGTGAGATGTTTTGGTACATGCCACAATGTATAATAGTTTATTGTCGTTTAAGACATGAAGTGGAAATGCCCCCCTGTTGGAGGAAATGTCGCTTTGATGTTCCCCCAGCACCCCCATGCACATAACCCAATATAGAGGGTGGTACAAATGTTTGAAGTCAAATCTGGCCAACAAAATGTGATTTTCATATGGTAAAGTCAAATTGCCTACATGGTGCTTATGTGGAATTTAAATGGGAACACAACACAATGGTTCCAAACATCACCCTAATGTTTTCTTGAGTTCTTATATCTTGGTTATCTTTGCAGCTTTATGCTGTTCAGTTTCATCTTCTCATTACAAGTATCTTGTTCCTTAGTCGGGAGGGCTTTCGGCGAGCATGCATGAGGACAGATATTAGATGGTGATTTCCTCTTTATTTCAGTATAGTTAAAGGTTCCTTTTGTTTGTTCCATAGTGGAATTTGTTATATCTGTTTTTCTTATCAAACATTTGATTGAAATTTTTGTCACAAATTTTTTGATCTCTCTCTCTCTTTCTTTTCTGTTCCATGGTTATAGTTTTTCTTCACTTTGTTTTTTACTGAGTGTGGTCATTACAACACATGCTGTCTTTTGGGAATTCTGTTAACGATGTAATGTGGAGATGGTTGCTGTAAAGCTGGGAATAGGGATCTGTTTGTGGCATTTATGCTTTCTCCTAGGCTTTTCATATGGAGTCTTTCTGGCCAAAGATATTAACTTCATTTCTACATTTTTAAGCAAAATATGAAATTTGTAGTTGCAATATCAAGGAACCAACAACAAAAAGATAACTGGATTATTTTTTCTTAAAGAAAAACTGGGTTATTGGATTCCTTAGCTCTCTAACAATGTGAGTTTCCAATTTGTGGATGTCAAGATATATATATATATATATATATGCCTCTAATTAAGGAGGATATCAGTTAAAAGAATTGGTTGGGATGCTGAAATATTGCAAGCCTAAAAATAAAAAATAGGATCAATTGGTTAATAGCAATAAGGGGTTCTACTGTCCTTTTGGATGTTAATGAGGTTGGTACAGCTTAGAAGAGTTTTTCGTGTAGATTGCCTTGGTTGGTTTTCTTGCTCTTCCCTCTTTAAGGCGCTTAGCCATTTCCACTCTCCTCACTTTCAGTTGGATTTTCCAGTTAAAAATCAAATTGGTCAAATCCTATTCCACAGAAAATTAGGGCATTTTGTTGGGAAGTGTTTCATTTAAAGATTTATACTTCTGATGTCATCCAAAGGAGAAGGCCTCATTGGACCTTTCACCTCATATATGCTTTCTCTGTGAGGCAAATTGTGAAACCATTTGCCACTTAATCAATCTCCTGTCAATCATAAGCAGTATTTTGGAATACCTTGTTGCTATATGGAATCTTCAACAATATATTGACTCATTATTTCAACCTTTATTCTCCAAACCAAAGAAGAGGGAATGTTTTGTGGAAATACACAAAGGCAGTTGTTATGTGTGGCCAATTTGGGAGGAAATGAATGCTAAAATGTTCTTGTCCAAGTCTAACTCTAGAGAATATTGTGAGATTGATTGAAACCCATGTCATCCATTGGATGAACTCCCCAATTATTGATTCAAGGGTATACTAACGAATTGGCAAGCAGTGGCAGTGACATCTATTAACAGGGATAGGTATATTATTTTTGGATTCCCTCATCATAGTCTATTGTCAAGACGAATGCTGATGAGTGTAGCTTGGGAAATCCAGGTCAATCAAGCATGGGAGGCACCTCAAGAAATCATGATAGAGACCTCCTTTTGGCCTTCTCTTACACCATAGGTATTGAGAACTCATTAGGAGCTGAATTGAAACCACAGATATTGATGGTCTGAGGAAAGGAGCCTGCCTTAACTATACATGAATAAATAGAAGATAACCGGTTTGTGGATGCTGGCCGATGGAGGAGAGTCTTGAAGGTCAAAGCTAAGGAGCTCTTATTTGAAGAAATGAAAATCAGAGGTAGGCTGAGTTTGAAGATTAGGGAAGCAAAGCATGCAACTTTGCTGTTAAAAGGCATTGAAGTGATCAAATGGTTTAAGGAGTTTCTTGAGCTAGTGGAAGGAGTATGGAACTGAAGAAGGTAAGAGATATGTGTGAGAATGCAAGAGGAATAACAAAGGTTTCTACATAACACTTCTTGAGTACTTTGTGGAGGGCAGAAAGCAGTTGGTCTGTTTCTCAGAAGGAAGACAGGGGGAAGGCTGGAAGGAAGTATGTAGAGGGCTAGAGGATTTCTTATCAAGCCTGAGAACAGCAAAAATGGAGGTTTTGAGAGAGAAAGAAGGGATTGTCAAAAACACAGACAAAGATGATTATAGAAAACAAGAGTTCATGGCCCTGGCAAAGAGCAATGGACAGGGTAGGTTGATAGCTTATATGAGGAGGGAAAAATGGGAGAGTAAAAATGTAATATCCAAGTTAATAGTCAGACAGTTGATTGGAAAAGGATTGCAAACCTATTGATACTGCACCTGAAGTTAAAAGGACTCTTCGTTTTAACTCCTTTTGAAAGTTGTAAAGCTGTGTTAGACTTGGTTGAAGACAGATTGGAGTTATCAACAGTTAGCTTTCAATATGATATTGGGGCAGTTATATTAGAAAAATGGAGTCCATCATCCAATTCAAAAGACTTCTTTGTTGAATAAGGAGTACTGGTTTGAGTGTTAGCCTATGGAAGCAAGAGATAGCTGAATCAATCACCTAGCTGTGTGGATGGAATTCTTGATGGAGCTTACTTGTGGGGGGGGCTTCACTTGACGGCCCTCTTATTAAATGGAATGAGACCAGAAGAAATACCAAGGAAAATAGTGCTCAAAGTGGAGGGATGTCTCTACTCAGTATGGCTGGTTTCATCTATAGAAGCAAGACTGTGGAGAGAGGCTTGCAAACAAGGTAGAAGATGAAAGGTTTGAACAAAATGATTGGTGAGTTCAAATATTGAAAACACTTTCACCAAAATGGGTAAACAAATTTTTGAGAACCTAAAAGGCGTGGGGCAGGTAGAAGGTCAGAAACATTAGTCAGATGGTTAAGACTTAAGAGCCATCTGATCATGCTGTTTTTTGGTTTAGGTCACTAGGCCCTTTCTTTGGTGGTACCCTTTCCACTATGGGGTTCTGATCCTATGACCAAACAACATAGGAAAAATTACAAGGACTCCAGATCCAGGACAGTCACCATGCTATATGTTGGTGATAATGTCCTTATCAAACTGGTTTGTGTTTGCCATTTCTTCTGTGTATATTTGGTTAGTCTTCATCCAGTGCATAAATGTATAAAGACGGTACACCATTAGGTTGCATATTCTGCCCATCTTGTATAGTTGGATTTATCATTTATAAAGTATATCCATACATTGGATGTTACATATGGTGCTTGTTTTCTGCTATGACAAATTAGCACATGTGAGCGCAGAGGTTATGTCTGGGTTCTCTTGTGATCTAGAAGATAAGAAATAAGGTTTTCATATTATAATAATACCCACCAATTAGGGACTTTTGGTTATTTTCAAAAGAACAAAAGTGATAATGTAGATTCCTTTAATCATCAGGTTCAATTTGATTGTTCTTCTGGCAGATCTCCTAGGTGGGAGGCATTGAAAGGCTAGACCTTGAACGTTCATCAATATTCAAAATTCTGATGTTCCTATTACATTCAGTAATTTCTGTCTGTTATATGACTTCATAGTTTATTCACTCATGAGTTTCATGTCAACTGAAAGATATTACTCTTCTATACAGTGGTGGTGCACAGATGCAAGAAAATGCTGCAAAGATATTAAAAGTAGCTTGGATGACTTTTCCAATTGGAGTTTTTGTCACATTTGCAGCCTGTGTGCTTGTCTTCTGGTGGCAAGCACTAGAATTTTCTGATCCATATGGACAAGCTATCCTGATTCATGGTAATTTTTATTTCCATTTCCAGTATTCCAAATAATTTGTTTCTTGTTTCAGCAAACTATTTTGCATTTTGGACTTTGGAGTGTTGATCTCTGTCCATTTTCTGCATAAAAAGGCTTGTATATGAAGCAATAAGCTTGCTAAAACCCATCACTGTTGATTTATCCATGGTCTTGTGTTGCCTTGTAGCCTAAGCTGAGGGAAGTCCCTCCATTTATTGTATGTTTTTACTGTTCTGGTGGAGATGGGTAAATACCAAGTACCGGTTGTTAAATAAGGAGGATATAAATCTATACTTTTAAAAACACAAGGTCAAGTTATGTAAAATATTGATGGTAACAAGCATGCAGAAAAAAATGGTAAAGTTGAATAGTTGATGCGCCTTTCATAATCAACATTAAAGGATAAAAATTTTAAGGTTTTTCATAATAAAGGGCCTTGTATTTTCACAGTATATTGATTAATAAAGTTAACTTCAATTATAAAAAAAGGGCCTTGAGATTTATTTTTTTCTTCATACTGGTGCTACTATTTTGTGGTTGGTTTTCTTAATAGATTTGGTAAATGAGATAATTTCATCTTATGTGACAGGATTTGCATGCATATTAGAGTTATTGGCGGAACCTCTTTATATTCTTTCTCAGAATCTGCACCTCCTTGATTTGCGCCTGATAGTTGAAACTACTGCAACACTTTTACGTTGCATTACGACCTATCTCCTCATTGCCAAGCAAACTAATATGGTAAATGTCAAAAAGATCCTGCTCGCATTTTTTTATGCCACATTATGCTTGTCTTGGTTTGTAAACAGAATCCAAAGATTGTGTCCAACTCATATTTCCTTGATAACATAATTAATTCTTGCAGGATATTGATTGTTTGTTTACTATTGGAAAACTGTTTCCTTGACCTTTAGTAATTGGGCAAGAGAGTATTAGTTTCACACCTACACTTTGCCACTGATATAAAAAAACTCCTCTGAGAACCAAGGGTCATAAACCTACATGCTCTAATTGGGTGCTCTTTAATAATTTCTGTCCTTGACTTACTTTGGGGAAGAGTAACCTGGCTGGGTGATCTTGTTAGAGGCTTGATTATGGATTATGGGGCGAGGGTTGTGGGTTGTGTCATATCTGTCTATTGCCAATGAGTTACTTGGGCCTCTGGCATGACCCTCACTCTTGTGATTTTTAGAATCAATGAATCACGCTCTTTTATGTTCTCAAATTTGGTCAGGTTTGCCTTCTCCACCTAATCTATGTACTATTTCTTGGTGCTTAAGGACCCTATTGTGGTAAAAATCATTAGAGAGATATTAATTTTTAGGAACTTCCTTTGTCAACAAGGATGATACTATAAAGATCATCTAAGTGGGATACAATGTTAAAAGTATTAAAAAAAATGTCTGAAAGGAGGAGGATGAAGATTTTGGGATTTTGTAGTAAAGAGTATTTGTGGCTTAAATTCTAATGGCGGGATGAGGGTTGGGTAGTAAGATTAAACCTATATCTCTTCTTGGAAGTCTAGTTTTGTTATTTACTCTCTTTTTTTTCTTCCTATTATCAGGTATGAGTTGTACGACCACTTATTTCCATGATAAAAAACCTTTCCATTGCTTGTTTGATAAAAAATCTTTCCATTGCTTGTTTTGCTTACTGTCATCGTTTCATCATCTAGGCTACACAGAATTTTGGTTTTGGGAGATCGGCTGATGGATCAAGACGACTGATGTAACCTCCCTTTTCAGTCTACTTGACAGTGTTTATCTTCATCCCTCTGATGTTGATTATAGATTCTGGCCCTTTGAATCACATGGATGTTTTTTTTTTTTTTTTCTCCCTTTAATGCTCCAAATGATACTGCTATTTCTTCTTTAGCATTTTTGGTAAAGGCACTTTAGGTTGCCTTCACACCTTCAAGAATCAGGGCTTTTTGTTGGGAGCTGATTTGCTTGAAAAAGTAACACTTGTACCGTCTTACAGAGCTGGAGATTGGAGATATTTGTGGTCTCTTACATCCATACATGTTGTCTTTGCATAGGCCAAACAGCAAGTCCATTCATAATCTACGATTTCTATTCCTTGTATTTGGGATTTGGGATAAGTTCTTATATCTGTTTGGTGCTATATATACACATGAGTGAAACTATGAGTTTATTTGGGTTCAGGTTTTTGTTCCCTGAAATAAAATGTGGAAGATTATGGAAATGTTTGACTGCTTTGGGGTTTGGGGTAAGTTCTTATTATTTGTTTGGTGCTAGATATAACCATGGCTGAAATTATGAGGTTATTTGGGTTCACGTTTTTCTTTCAATCTTCCCTGAAATAAAGTGTGGAAGATTATCGAAATGTTTGAGAGCTTTGGTCATTTTGAGAAGAGAAGAACACTTGAGTTTTCTTTAAAATGGAGCAGGCTTCAGACACTTGGTTGATATTATCACCATAGGGTGGTGCATTGGTTCATACAAAAAAATGAGTTCAGAGATTTCTGTACTGATGACATTGTGACTGAATGATCTTATGTAATACCTTGACTATTAGAAAAGTATTGGGATCAAAGCATTGGTCTTGTCCTTCCTAAGAAGTGATCAAGTTTTAACTTTGGTAGTTGCTTTCCTTGCGAACTTGGGTCCTTCATCAGTTAGATGTGTTGTGGTGGCAAGAGCCCTTTGTCCCTTTATCAATTCATCAAAAGACTAGATATTAAGATATATGTGTTGGTGATGGTGAAAGAATAAAATTTTGGGAGGATGATTGGATGGGGGTTGGGAGACTTTCTGACATATGTCCAAGGTTGTGCATGCTGGGTGAGATGTATACCTCAGTGGCTCAAAATTTTGAAATAAACCAAGGAAAGGTTGTGTGGCATCCTACTTTCAGAAGACTATTATTGGAAAGAGAGATTGAAAAAATATAAGGTTTCCATCTTTATTACAAGAAGTGGTAATGCAGGTGGATAGAGGTGATTTAAGATGATGGAAGGAGTGTCGAAATGGAAGATTTGAGGTTAAACCATTCTACAAAGCTTTGGCAAGGAATCAAGTGGAGAGATCCCAAATTGAACGTCTGGTTCACCCTAAAGTAGAGTCCTTTGCTTGGTTGGTTGCTTTGGACAGCATCCTTACACAAGATCATTTGAAATAGTAAAGGATACCAAATGGCGGGTATATGTTACCTTTGTAGAAGGGCTGAGGAAGATGTGCTTCACCTTTTTGTTGGTTGCAGCTTCTCGAAGTGCATATGGGTTTTCTTCTTAGGGTTTTTTTGGGATGGGAAGTGTGGTCTCCAAATTCTCTGGCAGAAATTTTCTCATGGCCAGTCTTGAATGGAATCAAGAAAGCAAAATTGGTCTGGTCATGCATGTCATTTGCGGTCTGCTGGGAAATTTGGAAGGAAAGGAATTGAAGGATCTTTGAAGACAAGTCAAGAGACAAAGAAGAGCTGTAGTCAATTATAGGGAAGAAAATTCTGGATTGGAATTCATCAAAAAAAAAAAAAAAATTCTGGACTGGACCTTGATACTATCAGAACTTTTGGATGTTTCAAGGGTTTCATCTGGACTTTTGTAATTGGATGTGGGTTTTTGATGTACTGCAGTTTTATTTCTTTGGTTTTCCTTTTTTGGGTGATTCCTCATAACCAGATGGGTTGTAATCTGTACTTTGCTTCCTTTTTAATGAATTTTATCTTTTATTTACAAATATCGAGCATTGTTCATATGGTCCAAAGGTTAGCTAACTCACCTGTGGGCACCTTAACCGGAGGTGGCATGGAGTGAAGAGAGCTTGTTGGGGGGTCAGCCCTTTAGGTTATCTTCTTTGGGTGTTGTGCTTTTTTACATGGGGTGCACTAGTCTGTCATCCTTGGATTTAGCTGTCCTGGTCAAGGAGTTCTTTGTGTATTTCTGTGCTTGTACTAAAAGTGTGACATGTATACAGACTTGCAGAGATCTGAAATGAAATTTGATGCATGGCAGTCTGGCTTGGACAAATGAAGCAAGAAGGATTCAAGGACATGCCTATAGAAATGTTTTAACTATTAAAGCAATCCATATTTTGTTGAATTTTAACATAATAAGCCTATGGAGAAAGGCCTAAAAGATTATCTTGTTAATAATATTTTATAGGAAAAATGACATTTATTGTGTATGTTAGCTGTTTGCTTGTGCTGAATATGCAAGAGGAAAAAAAGGGAGTGTGAGTCCAACACATGTTGGAAATGGAAACTCATCCATGTAGGAGAGTCTATGCAACACTAGTTTGTACTCTCCTTGATTTTTAGCATTATCAATTAAATTATTTGATCTTAATAGTTATTACGGCTAAAAACCCATAGAGTTGGTTTGCACACTTTATTTATCTGTAATTTTGTGGTTCAATAAACTCTTTTTGCTGTATGTTTGATGGTTTATATACCACTTTATCACATAACCATGCTGACAGCTATACTAAATCGATCCCTTTCAGGAAAAGGAGATAGTATTTGCTTTGTCACAGACTGCTTATGGAGCCTGTATACTATTGGGATACTGGGGTTATTTTCTTCGTTTTCATGTAGTTAGAAGCTCTGACCTTTTTCCTTTCAGGTATTCTTTCTCATCCCTAAATGTCATTTTTTTTTATTAATGATGGAGATGGTTTTGTTTTGAAATGTAAATTCAAGATGTACTCATTATCTATGTATACATGTTATATATTATGTTTGCATGCATGTATATATGCATATACAAGTATGGCAACATATATGATGCTCAGGAAAGCTTAGTAGGCACATTACTCTTTTTTTCTTTTGATGAGTAACAGTGCAATTTTATTAAAACAGAAACTGATTCAGGATTACAATCTCATGCAAGATCCCTTAGAGAGGTGCGAGTTGCAGCCCCTCCTGATAAATACAAAGAAGTTAGGAAACAATTACTGAAATCACAACTGAGCCCAACAATTCTTTCCTATTTGCCCCTTGCTTGGCTAACACGTCAGCCAAAGTGTTTGCAGATCTCCCCATCCACTGAATAGAGACTGACATGTTCCTTGTTAACCATTTAATTTTCTTAACTTCATTCTTATAGCACCAAACAGTCTTATCAGGTTTCCTTAACCAGCCCACCACCACCTTTGAGTCCCCCTCAATAATTAGTTGTTGTACCCCCATTTGGTTTGCAAGCTGCATCCCTTGTACCACAGCTAGCATTTCTGCCCTGACAGCGTCACCAAGTCCCAAAGGACCCGAGTACAACAGACCCCCCCATTCCAGAGGGCCCTGGATTGCCTAAGATGCTGCCATTGAAATTCAGTTTTAGTGAGCCTTCAGCTGGAGGACACCACCTTGGGACTACCTTGTCCTTGATGGAAGAACACCTCGCTATTGCCAACCAGTTTCTCCAAAAGTCATTAAAGGAGAACTGATGAAATAGGTCCAAAGTCTTCAACCATTGTATTGCCCTATTCAATAGTCTTTTAGTTGCTGGTTATTTCTTTCCTTCTCTTGAAGTATTCTATCAGAAATATTCTATCATTCCTTTCTTCCCATATTGTCCAAACCAAGGCTGCTCTCGTACTTCTCCACATTGATCTTAGTTTATGTTTTAAGCTCGCAATTTCTCTGTATCCAACATTAAATCTCTATGGTGTTCTTTTCAGTACATTGCTCTTCTCTACTTTTGTAATTCTTTTAGTAAGAGATCTATTTTGTATATTCTATGCAGAACGAGAAATATGATGGATCATGATAGGGACCTTTCACATATGTGTATGCTATTTACTTCTCAATCTGTCCGAAAATTGATTCTTCAAGAAGGGGAAAAGCTGATTCTTGTTTGGTTTGATACACCTTATAACCAAGCTGTATATGGGCTTGTAGACAAGTTAGGTGAGTGCAGTGCAAAACTCCCTCTATCTTTCAATTTACTTGGAGTTGATGGTATCACTTTTCAATTGCTTTTCCAGGTAGCTTAGTTGTGAGATTGGTGTTTCTTCCTTTTGAAGAAAGTTCCTACACTACATTTGCAAGGTTTGCATCAGGTTTATTTCTTTCCTTTTTTGGGTTGCTTTTTTGGTTCTTCAAACCAAGTGGTCATCCTTATTTCTCTTTGTTGTATTATGAACTTGCTTCCTCAGTTAACAATTGGCATATGGTTGTAGCATTTAATTGGTTTTTCTACTTCTGAAGAAAGTGCACTTCCAATCTATATTTCCCCCTTGATTGCTCATATTCTGTGGCAGTTGTTAGATAATCATTAATTCATATGCAGTGTATCATACAGTGTAAATCAGATTGTCTACATATTATTGTTGTTGTTGTCTTTTCTGCTGGTAATGAGAAATGAGAATGTCTAGTTTAATTGGAAAATTAGAAAATGTAAGCAAAAAGAGAGCACCTGCTCAAGAAGATAAACAGGGTAATAAAGGAGATTAATGATAACAACAAATGGAGAACCCACAGTAAAATTTGGCATTTGTTACCCACTCTTTGCTGTCAATGCTTCCAGGGCATTAAGGCCATGTTTAGTTCGACTCTCATTCTTACTCAATTTTATTCTTTTTCTCATCAATGGAAATAATAATGTAGGTATACATACAATACTCATTAGCAGATATATAGTGGAAACATGCAAGACCGACACCCATAAAACACAAATCAACTATGTGTGCTTCACATTAATAACACAAATATGAAAAAAAAACAAGAAACCAGAAAAGCTTTTGCATTTTGTTGCACAGAGAATATATAAAAGAAAATTTAAAGGAAGCAATTAGCACCTATTTAAAACTAATTGCTGAATTGAGTAGGCAGTTGTGCAAATGAAGAAAAAAGAGTCTAGAACTTCTAAATAGAAATGGAATTTAAAAATTGTAAAATTAAAAATAAAATTAATAAAATGAAGAAGTACAAAATGTCTAACAAAATGCAAGAAATGGAGAGTAAACTTTCTCAACTCTCCTAAAGAACCCAAAAACAATTACAACTGAACCCAAAATAGTTGACTTTTTTCCCACCCCTTGTTTTGCAAGAACATCAGCAAAGAACATTAGCAGTTCCTTTCGCCATAAGCCATTACCTTCCTTTTGCAACCAATTCACTGCCAGCTTAGAATCACCTTCTATTACCAGTTTACTCAAATTCAATTCGTTTGCCTTTTGCACTCCCTCCATAACAGCCAAAATCTCAGCCCTTAGTGAGTTGCCTACCCCAGTGGGACCTGAGTACAGGCCAATTACTTTTCCCTCATCATTTCTGAACACACCTCCGATACCAGAAGGGTCAGGGTTTCCTGCACTACTCCCATCAAAATTCAGTTTAATATAGTTATTGGCTGGAGGACACCAAAGGGAAATTGCATTGGCCTTGTGACACTCTAAGCTAGCCACTTCCTTCCATTTTTTTCAACAAGTCGTTATAAGAGAAATCGATAAAAATCTCCAAAGACTTTGCCCAATGAACCACTCTAACTGTAATGATCTCAATAATTGCCTCTTTACTTCTTTCCTTATCTCAATAATTGATAATAGTATATTCAATAAAGAAATATACTAAGAAAGTAATAAAATATAAAAAGACATTGTATAATCGTGCCCAATGTTGCTCCTTTTCATTCTTCAAGAAGCTTTGTGCCGACGGTCACAAATTTCCGGTTTAGGTCTCCAATCCACCAGCATAGATTTTTTACCAGTGGATGGCTGGCAGTCAATGTCCATTGGCGTAAGTTATGACAGCAGTAGCTGACAGACAGTTGATTGCCAACCATCTGTTGGTAAAAGTCTATGCTGGCAGTTTGGAGACTAAGGCCAGCGGTTTGTGACTTCCGGAAAAGAGCTTCTTTAAAGAATGAAAATGAGCAACATGACACAATTATTTTTTTTTTTTTGTTGATCAGTAATGAAATTTTATTAATGATAAAAATCAGGTTCACAAAGGGATGGAGCTAAAAAGTCTCAACTCCAGCTACCCAAGTGACTTTTTGACCATGCAGTGATTACAAAACAGCCCAGAATAATGTATCTCTATTTACTCCTTGCCTAGCTAGACCGTCAGCCAATGCATTTGCACTTCTCTTTATCCATGTACATTGAATTTCCATGTCCTTGGTTAACCACTTATACTTCCTCTTTTCATTGCTGTATTTCCACATCATAGCACTGTCCTCTTTTAGCCATTTCACCACCATTTCAGAATCACCTTCTATAACCACCTTTCTGATATTCATTTCCTTGACCCTTTGAATCCCTTCAATAGCTGCTAAAATCTCAGCCCTTAAAGAGTCACCCACCCCAATCGGCCCAGAGTACATGGCTAATAAGTTCCCTGTTTCATCTCTTATCACACCCCCAATTCCGGAAGGCCCTGGGTTCCTTATGCTGCTGCCATCAAAGTTCAGTTTAGTGAACCCAAGGGGTGGAGGAGTCCAGCAAACTTTTAATATCTTCCTTCATAAACCTGAATCAGCAATCTCCTTCCAATTCCTTAACAACTCATCAACTGAGAATACTTTGAACAGCTCCAATGTTCTCAACCATTGTACTATCCTAATATGGATGATCTCCATGATTTCATTGTACCATCCTAATATGGATGATCTCCATGACTTCTTCCGCGCTTCTCTCTTTATTTGAGAGGATCCTTGAATTCCTCTCCTCCCACACTGTCCAACAGACTGCAGCTCTACCACACCTACACATGATTTTAGCCCTTTTAGTTGGCCAATTAGGCATGGAGGAAAACAAGCTTGGAACATTCAAAGGGGGAGTCCACCTACACCCAAACAGAGAAGTAAACCATACCCAAATAGCTTTAACAAACTGACAAGATATTAGTAAATGATATCCAGACGCACCATCGGACTTACAGAGAACACACCAATGAGGAGACAAGCAACTGTTGGGTCTTTTCCTTTGGAGTAGATCCCCTGTATTAACTCTTCCCAGGAAGGCCTCCCAACAAAAAAACCAAACTTAGGAGGTATAGGTCGACACCACACTTCTTTAACATGAAAAGAAGAACCAACCGGATGAGAGGGTAACAGTTCTTTGAAAAAAGAAGCACAAGTGTATGAACCCGAGGGAGTTAGTGTCCAAATTCTGTTATCTGCTTTAGACGGCTCAATGAATACCCCTTCAAGAAGAGATAGTAAGACTATAGTACTAGCAAACTCTGTGTCCCTAACACCTCTTCTCAAGTTTAAATTCCACCCAACCCCAGAAGGTGAATTGGAAGGAACAAGAAAGGATGAAATTGGTTCATTCTTAAGGGAAGACATAACAAAAAGGCCCGAAAATTGATCTTTCAAAGGGGCATCCCCAACCCAAGCATGTTCCTAGAATTTGATAAGGTTACCAGAATGTAAGTCATACCTGATCCAAGGAGAAAATAAAGGCAAGATGGCTTGAATAGCTCTCCAAGGAGAAGCTCTTGTAGCCCGTGCTAGAATTCCTGAGTCCCATCCATTGTTTGCCAATCCATGTATACTTCCCACCACCTTAACCCACAACCTTTCTTTCTCCAATGAGAATCTCCACAACCATTTCCCTAATAATGCAAGATTCCTAATCCTAATATTACCAATACCAACCCTCCTTTTTTACCTCTACAGACGACCTCCCACTTGACCCTATGGTCCCTCTTCTCCTCCCCCGGCTCCCATAGAAAATCCCTCAGTAGCTTTTCCAACCTATTAGCCACCTTCACCGGTATCCTGAAAACTAACAAAAAATATACAGGAAGGTTAGCCAATGTAGACCTAATTAATGTGATTCTCCCTCCAAGAGACAAATAATTTCTTTTTCAGCTGGCAAGTCTCTTTTCAAATCTCTCCACTACAAGGGCCCAAAAATCATCTCTCTGAGGATTATCCCCCAAAGGTAAGCCCAAGTAGGTTAAAGGCCAGTTAGACACTACACAACCCAACATATTTGCATACTCCCCAATCTCCCTTTCCCCCATATTGACTCCAACTATACAACTTTTTTCAAAGTTCACCCTCAGATTTGACATCTGTTCAAAAAGCTGTATAGAGAGTTTCAAATTTTTAATCCAATTGATATCCCCTCCTTCACAAAACAGAATCGTATCATTTGCAAATTGTAAATGTGTAAGTGGTACCTCATCCCTTCCAACTCTCCACCCTCTTATGAGCTCCCTTAAATCTGCTCTGGATATCAATCCCCCCAACACTTCAGCTACTAATGTAAACAAGAAGGGGGATAGGGGGTCTCCTTGTCTAATCCCCCTCAAAGCTGGGAAATAGGTCCACCACTGTCCCATTCACCAAGATAGAATAAAGACAATCCTTAATGCATCCCATCACCCATTTGCACCAAATGTCTCCAAACCCAAAGTTCATCAGCACCTCCACTAAGAAGGACCAATCAACCATATCATAAGCCTTTTCCAGATCTAGTTTGCAGACCACACCTCTTCTCCTAGATCTCTTGTAGTCCTCTAAACTCTCACATGCTACACGTATTTGATTTGTTATTTGTTTCCCTCTCACAAAAGCTCCTTGATTGTTCGAGATGATAGTTGGTAGCAACCTTCTGATTCTAATTGACAACACCTTAGTGATGATCTTATAGACGCTGTTGACTAGACTGATCAGCCTGTAATCCTTTGGATGTCTTGCATCACTTTTCTTGGTAACTAGAGCAATGAATGTGGAATTTAACCCAAGGTTAATCACTCCTCTGGTGTGGAATTCATCAAACACCAACAATATATCATCCTTTAAAATCTCCCAACAATCCTGGTAGAAAGCCATCATAAAATCATCTGCGCCCAGTGCCTTTGATCTATCCATTGAAAATACTGCCTCTTTTATTTCTTCCACTCAAATTTCCACTCCAACCAATCCCTCTCTTCTCTCTTCAGCGTTGGCCAATCCAAACCCTCCAACCATACTCTATTATTCAGTGGCCTTCTATATATATTCCTAAAATGACTTGCAAAAGCTTCCGCAATTTCTCTCTGACTTGTGACTGTTTCCCCTTCAATTTCCAATCTGGTAATAGCATTTTTCCTCCTTCTGCCACAAGCCAAGGCATGAAAGAATTTAGTGTTCCTGTCCCCCTCTTCTAACCACTTGCATCTTGACTTCTATCTCCAACTTATTTCCTCCTGAAAAATATAGTCCTCTAACTGTTTCCTCAATCTCCATCTTTGTTCCTTATCCTCTTCAGTTAGGCCTTCCCTCCCTTCTCTACTGTTCAAGTCCTCAATTTGTGTGATCACATCCTATTTTCTTTCCTCCAACCTCCCAAATTCCAGTAGATTCCATTCCTTGATTCTACTTTTGATGTATTGGAGCTTCTTGTGAAACCTCATCCCATACCACTTCACCGCTAGATTGCTCTCTACCCACCACTCTTCAACCTTGCATAGTACAATAGGCCAATGGTCAGAAGTCACCCTCGGGGGTGCTCTAGAGTTCAGATTCCCCCAATGTTCTTCCAAATCATTTGAAAATAGGAATCTGTCCAGCTTAGAGCAAATTGGATTGGTTTGGAGATTGGACCATGTATAACACCTTTGTGACAGTGGGGTTTCTTTTAACTCATAAGCCTCAATGAATTGGTTAAATCTCCTCATACTTGTGGTGCTCCTCTGCCTAGGACTGTTAGTTTCTGCCAAGAATCTTATTACATTGAAATCACCTTCTAAGCACCATGGTCCATCCCACAGATCCCTTATGTCTGCCAACTCTTCCCATAATAATCTTCTTTCTCTGTAATCATTTGGCCCATATATATTGGTTAACACCCATTCAAAACCATCTTCCACTTGCCTAAATTTTAAGGAGACTGTGAATTGTCCTACCAACTCCTCTAAACCTTTCACTGCCTCATTATTCCACAGTGTCACCACACCCCCTGCTGATCCCCATGAGGGCAGAACCGCCCAGCTAATCCCCCTGCTCCACACACTCCTTGCCCATTTGATATCAAATTCTGCTCTTTTCGTTTCTTGTAACAGTACCACATTGGGATCCATTTTCCTGATGACTCTTTTTATTATTGCTCTCTTCCTTGCACTACCTAATCCCCTCACTTTTCAACTTACTATCCTCATTATTCTTTTTTATATCCACCCCTCACACCTTTTGTCTCTCACTTACTTCCCTCCTAGCCCCTCTAGTTCTAATGCCTTTGTCACATGCCACTTCCCTCCCCTTACTTCTAGCCTCACTCCTTCTCCTCCTTTTGACCTTGACTTCTTCTCTCTTTTTTTCCAAGACTCCTTTCAGCTTATTTGGATCTTCTTTCTCTGATTCCTTGGATTTATCTACCTGGCCTAGGTTCCCCCCTGTACCTTCTTCCTCCCTGCTGTATCCTAACCGAGCCTCTGCTGCCCCCTCTTTCAGACATTTATTCACCCCCACCTCAGGTAACCTGTTTTCACTGTCTCCTAAAAACCTGATGCTACTATTTACTTTCTTCTCACTTTCCCCCTCCCTCTCTAACTCCTCCCCACCTCTGCAAATATTTCCCGACCCTCCTCCTTCTACATGGACTGCAGCCTCTGAAATGGGATTGGAATCTGGCACACAGGACACAGAGCAACCATTAGTACCAAAAACTAAAGGGACACTGTTACCTTGGTTTAGTTGGAGTGGATTAGGGGAACTGGAATTGGAAGCAATCGAATCCTGGAAGAAGGTGTGGTTGTCAGTTAACTCCTTGGCTCGGGTCTGTGGAGTTAGCCTTCCTGCCTCTTTCGTTGTACAGAGGTTCCTCTCTGCACCCAGCTGATTGTCCCTCATTATTGTGTTTCTACTTTGCTTCAGGGGAGTTGTGAATACTTCTTTACTAAGCACCCGCCCGTTATCAAGCTTTGGTACAGAAGCTTCTAAAGCTAGATCATAATCTTCCTCCCCACTCTTGTTCTCCTGGTGTAGAGCCCAATCCGGATTACGTCCTTCTTCTATATCTTCTGAAAACAAAATATCAAGGTTCAAGGTTGCTGCCAAATCAGCCTCTGATAGCAGGTCTACCTCCGTACTGCCTATACTGGACTGGTCGTCGGAGTCCTCTTCCATATCTGAATCTTCCAGTTGACAATTTACCCAACTCTCATCAACCTCTTCCTTTTCTTCGCTGCAATCTCTTTATATCTAGGATTCGGATGGTCTTTCTCTGAGTTGCTTCCTTTTGAGAGGTCAGGCATGAATCTAGGGGCCCAATGCAGAGGACCAGCTGTTTTCTCTTTCCGTCTATTCGAACCAGTGCCTCCAACTCTTTTTCTCTTCAGAGAGGAAGAAAGTAGACCTTGTTTAGTGTCTATAATCCCCTTCATTTTGTCCTGGGCCACATGCTCACTTAAACAGTCACGTGGCCCCAGAACCAAATCTTTGGTTGGACCAACCCCACCTCTAACCGGTTCAGATACTCCAGTCCGCAACAGTAATGTTATGTGGTCCAACCCCCTTCTTGACCACGTCAGCAAAGGAGGCTCAAGCCCCCCCACTTCGGGAAGCTTCAAAGATTTTTGATTTTTTTTCTCTAAATGGCTTACTTGGGTCTCGGTTTTCCAATTGCAACTTTTCAGCTTCCTCCTTAGGTTTCTGCCGCTCTGCCTTCAGGCCCGCCAACACCTGTCTGTCACGTAAGATCGAACCCGCCACGTCCCCTTCATCTTCAAGAATTTTGTGCTGCAGGATTTTTTATTCTAAAAAGAATGAGGCCCATGACAAGAATTTTGTAACTAAACACTCTAATGTTATTCATTCTTGCCCATTCTTGCCCAGAATGAGTAAGAATTAAAAGAATGAGACCTGTAGCAGCGAACCGAAGTAACCTTGGAATCCAAGAGTAGTAGATGTTTTGACCATGGTTCTCAATATGGACAATATTTGGTGATATATCCCCAAAATATCCCCCATTTGCTAGTTGGTGATACGAGATCTTCCGGGAATCTTTTTTTTTTTTTTCAATTCCCTGAATTTTGCTGATATGCCAGCGATATTTCAAATTTCATTTTAGACTATATATATATAAAATTTAAAATTTTAGAATATTTCAATATTTAAATTATATATATATATATAAACTTTTCAATATTTTATTAAAATCATCATAATTTTTTAAAAATATTTTCCTAAAAGAACCAACAAGGAATTGGTGATTGGATAATTGGCTTACTACTTTGATATGATTCACTTACTAAATCACTATAATTCAAAGGAAAAAGAAAAAAAGCATATAGCTACAAAATAGTATTGTCAATCTAATCAAAACATATAGTAACAATAAAGACAAAAGTTAAAAAGGCAAATAATTGACATATAAAGAAGAGAAGAAGGTTAAAGACCAAAAGGGAGACAGAGAAATACACCTATTACAGTTTCTTAATTTTTCCTATTTGATCTATACAGTTCTTTACTATGGTTTTGAGCCTTAAATGTGCAATTGTGTTTCTTTAATTATCTCTTGAAGGTTTGTTTGTTAACTAATTCCATGTTTCTAGATAACTTTCCTATTTTTTAGAATTTCCCAATATCTTAGTGAACTTAGCAAATTATCTCCAAAGTTCTCCAATTCTACATGGTGAAATGCTCATCATCAATATCGAAATTATGAACAGTGGTTTTGACTATACATGCTGAACTCCCAAAATAATTTCCATGAAACTCTTCTTGCAAAGTCTTGGAAAGTATAGACAAATAACTCCATTCTCTCTAAAAGATGTCCTGTGTTCATGTTATAGAATTTAAAGATGTCCTGTATTCATGTCAATAGTTCAATACGTTAAGGAAATATCAACTGTTTTCAGCAAGCCTGTTGAACTTTCTTTCTTGACAGGAACATCCCCTGATAAGCAAATGAAGCTAGCAAGTTCACTTACTCAAGCTCTAAAGCTTGTTTTGTTAATTGGTATGTCTTTCACTTTGCTATTTTTGTTGCATTTGCTTAAAATTTTCTGTTAATTATTTGGGATTTGTTCTTTTCTCCAATTTGTAATGAAAAAGTCATGAACCATGTGTGCAGATGGTGATAGTGTACCAAGTACCAACTATGAATTGAACTTTTCAATTTTGACAAAAGAACTAAAGGCTACTGAAAATATCAACAACACTTGTGCAGGTTCAATGTAATTGATGTAATAACATATTTATTGTGGTATTGAGTTTTATTAATATCACATTATTTATTTTGATAGCCTGAAGAAATTATTAAAAAAATTAAGAAAAGGAGATATGAAGACCAGCAAGAGAGCTTTGTGGCCAAGGCATAAGAACTGCACAAGGAATATACAGAATACAAGAGGCAGCGAACCCACCTCCTACCTGCCAACGACACCAAGATGCCATATTCCTGTTTGAAAGGAGTTCAACATCCTCCTAAAGGCAACATTTTTTTGATAGTTAACAGAAAATTTGTTAATCAGAACATTAATGACAAAGAGAATCATTAAATAGCTGAAAGGAAAACACATTGGAAAACAATGACAAAAATACCAAAAGAATCATTAAATAGCTTGTTTTTTCCTTCTTCCACCTCTTTCTCAACCCATGGTATTCTTGGAATTGCTCCTCAACTTCTGCAAACACAACCTTGCACCATCTGATGCCACCGGGCCCATTTTCTTTTTCTTTTTCTCCTTTCTCTCTCTCTACAGACAACACCCACCATCTGCACAAGCACTTTCCATTTCGAGCACCTTGATTCTCCTGTTGGATTCCACTCCCTAACTTGGGTGCTCCTTTCATTCTTTTCGAGACACCCGAAAACAGTTTCCACAGCTTTCTCTCCTTCCAAAAAGAATATACCCAATTTCTTGGCAACCTGAAACTCATGGTTCGCTACCATTTCCACCAGTCGACTTAGATACCTCCAGGAATTCATTGGAAGGTGCAAGTTTACTGTTCTTTTTTCTGTTCAATAAAATTGCCAGATAAGTCATTGATCAAACAAGCAGTCCAGCATAAAATTATACCAGATTTGTTCTCAGAAGAAAAGAGAACGAAATGCTAGGTCTCAGAGAATAGCATTAACACCAACTAAACAGTTCAATGGGGGTGGCTGCAAACATAAGTGTAGATAAGGTGAGACTCGCTGATGGTTCTTTCTCCACCATAGCTGGCCAAGGAACCATATCTCTCCCACTCGGCATTACCCTTTCTAACGTACTACATGTTCCTAAATTACCTATAAATCTGCTTTCCATTAGTAGTATTACTCACTCCTTGAACTGTTTAGTTACTTTCTATCCGTCTTCATGTGTGTTTCAGGATTTGGCCTTGGGGAAGACGATTGGTAGAGGAAGCATGGTGGATGGCCTCTACGTGTTGTAGAACAAAGCTGGTCTTGTGGCTACAGAGTCTTTGAGTTCATCCAATGAGAGTCAAGCCTATTTATGGCATAGTCGCCTTGGTCATCTTTCTTTTGAGTCGTTAAAAGTTATGTTTCCAAAGTTTGAGTCTTTGTTAGTGAGTCAGTTGCAGTGTCAGACATGTCAATTGAGTAAGCATTGTAGAAGTTCTTTTCCTTTGAGAAATAAAAGATCTGAATTTCCATTTCATATTATTTATTCTGATTTTTGGGGCCTATTACTCTACCTACCGAGGCTGGATATAAGTACTTCATTACCTTGATCGATGATTACTCTAGATACACCTGGRTTTACMYTAKGYGRTCTAGAGAGGAAGTGCCTAAAATTGTGAAAGACTTTCAACGCATGGTGTTCACTCAGTTCCAAACTGAAATCCATATTTTCCAGTCGGACAATGCAAAGCAATACTTCCATAATGATCTCACAAAATTCTTTGCTTCGAGTGGATCACTTCAATGAAGCTCTTGTGCTAGGACACCTCAACAAAACGATGTTGCTGAAAGAAAAAACCGTCATCTTCTTGAAGTAGCTCGTGGCTTGTTAATCCATATGAATATTCCGAAACGTTTTTGGATGGATGCTGTTTTGTGTGCTACGTACATCATCAATCGTATGCTCTCTCGGTTACTAGAGTATAATGCCCCACATTAGCTTTTGTTTCCTACAGCTCCGTTGTTCCCCATTCCAATGCGTGTTTTTGGGTGTCATTGCTTTGTTCATAACTTGTCACCTACTCGGGGTAAACTTGATCCTCGTTCTATTCCTTGTGTCTTCCTTGGTTACCCTCTATCTCAAAAGGGGTACCGTTGCTATGATCCCGTCTCTCGTAAGTACTATGTCTCAATAGATGTGTCATTCTTTGAGCATCAACCTTTCTTCTCGGTTTCTCCTCAGGGGGAGAGTAGGGTTGAGGAGAAACAGGCTCAGACTCAACTACCTCCTCTACCTGACCCTCCTCCATTCCATGTCTTTCTTCGCCGCCACAAAAACCAACAGAGTTCAAGAGCTGTGGAACCTGACACTATGCAACCAACATCATCGGCTTCACTGGAGGTTGATCCTTCCCATCAGCCAGGTACACTTGCTTCTATAGATGTGCCTACTCCTCTCAATGTTGATTCCCCTGTCATTAATGATCTTGATGTTCCTATTGCTAAGAGAAAGGGTGTTAGATCTTGTACCACTAACCATCTTATCTCTCACTTTGTGTCCTATGATCATATTTCATCTTCATATCATGCATTCCTCTCCTCTGTTGACAGTATCCCCGTTCCTAAGAATGTGCCAGAAGCTTTATCCAAACCTGAATGGACAAATGCAATGAAGGAAGAGATTGATGCATTACACAAAAATGGCACTTGGGAGTTGGTGGATTTTCCCGAAGGGAAGGAACCAGTGGGGTGCAAGTGGGTGTTCACAGTGAAACACAAGGCTGATGGAACTGTTGAAAGGTACAAGGCCAAACTGGTGGCAAAAGGTTTTACACAAGTATATGGAGTGGACTATGCAAAGACTTTTGACCCAGTAGCCAAGATGAACTCTATAAGAATTCTCCTTTAACTAGCGGCAAATCTTGACTGGGAACTTCACCAATTGGACATAAAAAATGCTTTCTTGAATGGTGACTTAGAAGAGGAAGTGTACATAACCCAACCTCCAGGCTTTTGTGCTAAAGGCAGTGAACAGGAAGTGTGCAAGTTAAAAAAATCTTTATATGGGCTGAAACAATCTCCTCGGACCTGGTTTAGTAAGTTCCACTTAGCAGTTCAACAGTGGGGTTCAAACAATGCCAGTCAGATCGCACACTATTTGTAAAGAAAGGTGAAGGGAAAATTGCAGCTCTAACTGTGTATGTGGATGACATAGTGATCACAGGAGATTGGGAGGCTGAAATACAGAGACTAAAAAAGTTCTTAGCCACTCAATTTGAGGTGAAAGATCAGATCCCTTACGTTATTTCCTTGGAATTGAAGTTGCCCGCTCTCATAAGGGCATCTTTATTTCCCAAC